GGATAATTTCTGCTGACTCAATGAGGTTGTTGCTCTGGGTCAATGGTGTCGAGAATCCCTGAAAAATCATTCCCATGGCTCTGCTTCTTTCCTTTCTTCCTTCTGCCTTCAGATCCAGCTAAGTTGCTYATGCCTCTGTCTTGTGAGGGGATTTATGGTTAAAAAGTCTTTCAGGCTTGGAATTTGGCACATTAGATCCTGTCCACTTGCATATGGACAAGAGTAATGAGCTGCCTTTAATACAAGGTGGTCTTCAGAGTTTTTAAGGTCTACGAAACAAACCCAAATTGCTTGTTAATTTGAGGGAAGCTGTGGATGACAAGGCTGTCTGTAATTTTACTGTTTCTTTACTAGGGCTGGTTGTGGCCAGGTAAAGAAACACTGCTCCTTCAGGAGCACATTTAAATCATCTACTCCTTTTTGGAAGCTGCCAGTCTCATAGTCAGTCTTGTGTTTCATGCACATCTAAATGCTTCATTGACTTGTGCCAAGAGATGGAAACTAGCCTGCTTGTTTTAATACATTCCTGATGATTTTGATGGAAAATCTAAATGTGTGAAGAACACAAGATCCTGCCCACTAGCAGCCAAAAGGATACCATTTCACATTTGTTACTCTTGTGAATCAGGGGAAAAAACAAACAARCCAAAAACCCGCAAATAAACAAACAAACCCCAAACCCAACAAAACAGTAAGAACAAGCCCTTGAAGTTAGAAAGAAACCAAGGAGGAATAGCTGTGGTTAACATGAGAGCCATTTATSGCAGACATCTTCCCATCCTATAGAATCACAGAGCAGCCCAAGCTAGAAAGGGGTTTTTGTCCAGCCTTTCATGGAAGAGGGAGCCTAGATTTTCTAGTACCTTATTCAATCTTGTCACACAGCTGAATTTTCTGGTTCCCCGTACACTGTAAGGGGGAGAGCTGAGTAGAGCTTCCTCGCCTGCTTCTTCAGAGTGTTGTATTGGCGGCTTTTGATCTGATAGTTATTCTTTTTATATTGCATGTTTTTGTATTAGCTTTTCTTTGTAATTAGACATTGTGATTATAGTATCCTTTTATATTACACTGGAGTGTTCTTTTAATGCAGAAATCAAATAAACAAAACACATAAAATACAGAAAAAAAAAATTGCAACAGTAATGCTTGGGTCCGAAGGAGCAAAGAAGCGGGGAAAAACAAGTTGCAGTTATTGTTTTTGGCTTCAGTAACACAGTTCATATTTTTTATTATTCTCCAAATTAGGTTTATTCATTTATTACAATCCAGTGAATGAATTAAAGCTAAAACAAATCCAGATTTTTAAAGACAAATGTGTGTTGTAGCTAAACGCAACTTTTTTGTTTTTGTTCAAATGCTGGAAAACGTTTTCCTTCTTGGTGTAAATGTTTTCTGAGGGAAAGGTTATGTGGGGTAAGAACACTCAGGACAGAAGAGTAAGTAGCAGGGTATTTAATAGCACAGAGCAGGGCTGTGCTGTTCCTCCGTGGCAGCATCCACACAGTGATCAGCAGCCTAATGCCTTCCCTTTATCTAAGGAACAACACGTCTATTCCACGTGGCTCCATCTGGGAGTTTGTTTCAGAACAGTATTACCTTCCCCCTGATAAGAATCTTGCCTTGTGAAATTATTTTGGAAAAAGGCCATCTGCTAGRGAAAATAATAATAATAAAAAAAATTGAATCCATGATTCAGATAATAAAACTTTGATTACTGCTCTCTTAGGAGGATGGATGAGGAAGCAACAGTCCAAGGAGCTGTCCCTGGAACACGTTTTAGAGCAAGATGTTGAGATTGACTGTAATGTCATGCAGAGGCTTGCTGTGTGAGGTGCGCCGCTCAATTGGCTTCCAGGGAATGAGTCARGTCTCCTTCACCAGCCTTGGCTCCAAGTGGCTCCTGAGTGGGGTGTGAGCAGTGAGGAAGGAGATYGTTTCCTGATACAAACACACTCAGAGCTTGGTGGCTTCTAGTGKGTGGGATGACAGAATGGGATAGAGCTGCCATGAGGAGACAAATGATCAGCTGTTTGCTGAACCAAAGGTGTCTCAAACTAAATTGGTTTTACAGTAATTCAGGAGCTAATACATCAGTGCCTCAACAGAAGCAGTAGTGAAGACATGGTCTCTCACACCTTCTACAAAATCCCTGATCCCGTTCAGCATGAAATTCTAAGTAATAAAAGATCTCAGTCCAAGAAACACTAAAAGTTGAATGAACTCTCATTTTTGCATGATTTTAAAAACTGGTTTTATTCTCCTGGTTGCTTAAACAAATATAAATCAGGAACAACTTCTGCATTCCAGAGGAAGGTTCACAAATGAAATAAATCCTCTACTTTGTTGGAGACCTGGGTGGAGGAGGACAACCATCCTCCTAAGTGCTGTGTTTGAAAGTGCACAGAAGATAAGATACACCAGCTGTGTTAAAACAAGCCATTTTCATCTCACACATACACCCTGCAATTCTACTTTTTAATTTCTAAGCAATCACACTGCTGGAATCTTTTCCAGCCATTGAGTAAAATATATGTTTGTCTTGCAATTATGTAAATAAGGTAAGTGGTTAAGATTTAGATCTAGAATAATAATGTTAACATCATTGTCCCTTCAATAAACAGCAAGGAGGCTTTCGATGCAATGTTGTTTTTGCTCTATGTGTTCCATGCTACAGAAAAACACAGGCTGACACAGAGATGATGTGGTATTCTTATCACATTTARAACAATATTTAGGCAGTGTAGCTCCTATTGCCTTTTGCTTGCGTTTGAAGGAAAGCCCTGCTCCATCAATGGGAATGTGTCAGAATTTTGTAATAAAGCATGCTGTGTAATATATTTAAACACAGTCCAAATTAATTAAAGTGTAGTGGACGTGAAAGATACATACTCAATGTGACATTTCAAATAGGGAGAAAATATGATAATGAGCTATTTCCATGTGTTGCCATCCTTCTGGTTAAATAATACTTCTGTTTCCAATAAAGCCACTGAGCAATAACATTCATTTTTGGAGTTCCACAGTGGTTAGAACTGATTGTATACAGGCTGTAATCATTATCCTAATTCTGCCCAGGAAACCCTCTCTCCCCACCATGGAGAAATTTGGAATAAAAAGTCTCATTCCAGGAAAAAGAATTTCCAAATAATCCTGGGCAACAGATCAAAATATGAGCTCCAAATCYGTTCCTTTTTCTTAATAAGAATTAGCACTTTGAAAAATGCTGCTCCGCAAGGAAATAATTGCATTAGTCAGCCTCTTGGCACTGGCGTGGGCTGGAGCCTTCTCTTAAAATGAGGCCCAGCCTCACCCTGCAGTGCATCCAAATCCCCCAAAGATGCAAATAGCCCCAAGACCCTTKGCTTTAATCTTACAGGCAGAAAACTAAAACATGGGACAAGAGACAGAAAGCGACCTGGAAACATAGCCTGCCTAATGCTGAGGCAGCTTTGGGTGAGACAGGCATCCTTTTGCGTGCTGAAGGGTAGAAACCAAAATAGGAACTGTRAATAAGAGGTTACTGTTTCCAGGCTATCTTTTCCTTAGGATGGATCTGGTCACACAGATACAGTGCCTTTAGCTGGCTGTACAGCCCAAAGGACTGGCAGTACCTGGTTATGTATTTGCCTCTTGACAGGATTGCAGTGCTGATGATCAGGACAAGTCCAATGCTCAGGACCTGACAAACACTAGAGAGAACGCTTTTTACTCCAGCTCTGTGCAAGAGAGAACTTGTATTTAGTGTGGAGAGCAAGTCTATGTGCCTTTCACTGGAGGGATTTTTTAGAACCACACCAAAATGTTCCCTTCTATTAAGGCTCCGATTTTCACCAGTGAAAAGGCTGCACGTCTTTGGTGAGGGATGAAAGACAAGCAGCACACATTATTGGATAGCAAAAGGGCAATGCTGGAGCCTTCATCTACAGGAAGAGAAACAAGCCTTGCCTGGTACCAAGACATTAAACCCCCCAAGAAACCATCTAAACTGCCCAGCACCCTGGAATTTACTGGGAGGTAGGTGTTGAAGTGGTTTTCACATTCCTRTATTGCCCTTATATTGTTTCAATTTGTTCTTTTGAGTCCTCCACCACCAGAACTATTTCCTTCCCAGCTGTTCAACTAGACCAGTKGTAAATAATGTAGTGGAGCCTGTAGTGTAAACTATGAAGATTAGTTTGGAACAGAATGGACAATTCATTCTTTTGTTCAAAGACTACCAAGAAACAGATCTGTGTCCTGAAATGCAGGAAGAGTAATTTATCTCCAAGATAGCTGTATGCAAAAGTTTGCATGTTAGCTCTGAAGAGTTCTATTAAATARCTGGGAACTGAGTCCCTGAGTGAGGTTGATGAACAGGGCAGGCAGTCAGTGCCCACCCCCGATCCTGCTGCTAATTGCTTTGTTGGCAGTGCATTTCAGGTGCTCTATATTCCTCCCTCTTTGGGCTAATATTGTTCCAATTGTTTTCTCCTATTCAGCTAAAGAACCAGAAGCAAATGCTCCTTTGTTGGCTGGYATTGACCTAATGGGAAAACATGATGCAGATGTAGCTTTCAGCCATCATCTGAGCATAGCAGGGGAGGAAGATACTTAAACCTGTTCATGTTAAGACTGAAGACAGGAATGTGCATGGGTCAGTAGGGAAAGCATGTGACCCCACGATGCAGAATCAGAGCTCRCCAGAGCCCTCAGCACCTGGTAAAATATGGATGGAGACAGACTTTGTGTGCCCAATCAAGATTGTGTGCTCTGTGCTTTAAATACCCGACTGTGGTGKTTTTTCTGCTTTTAGATTTAATTCTTCCGCTGCAGGAGTGTTCTAATATTGTGGTCTCGGGTGCTACAAGGTGCCTGAACAGAGATACCAACCTGCCTTGAAGATGGTTGCTTCAGAAAGAAACACAATGGATAAAATTCAGATCAGTAGGATCTAAGCTAACCTTACTGCTCTGGTGTGCACCTGTCTGMCTGGCAGCCTGGCAGTGCCCAGCAAGCACCCTGAGGAGTAGGAGTGCTTCTGGAAAAGGGGCTATCCTGGGCTGAAGAAGGCAGGTTATTCTCAGGTAAAATGTGCATGCCGTGTGTTTGGGACAGGAATGGGATAATGAGCCAGTAGTAAACCTAATGTCTTCTACCACCAAAGAAAGAGTTATTCAGGAAGAATTTGTAAATTGGCAGAGGCATTATAGATGTCAGTGTGCGATGTTTATGGCATTAAGGGCATGAGAGTTTAGGACTGGTCTGAAATTTTCCAGGGTGCTTTTTCCTAAGGGAGGATTATGCAGTGGTTTTGTGTGAGAGGACTCTCATCCTCATATTCAGTGTGCTCAGTGTTATAGGGGCATGTATGGATCTGTCCTTCCCAGTCTTTTCCTGCTTCCCAGTACCTGGGCCATAAATCTGAGATTTAAGTGCTGCATGCCCCTTTGCCAACTGCAGATCAGACTCTGGTAATTCCAGCATTTCTCTATGATTGTCCTTGTGAACAGGAGCTCCACTGTCTCWGGCTGAATGACAGTTGTTCCTCTGGCTTTGGTAGTTCAGAGATCTCTTCTTTTTACCAAATGGAGATTACGAAAAAAACCAAAACAACAAAACAACAAACAAACAAACAAACAAAAAACAACAAAACAACAACAAATAAAAAAACAACAACAAAAAAAAAAACCCTGAGAAACTGCAATATCTGTAATGGAGAATTGGGAAAACAAGACTTGCTTCTGATCAATGCAGCTCTCTCTGGCAGAGGGATGGTGGGAGTTGACTGAACAGCAAGAAGAGAAGATAGAGGGTTGCAAGGCACGCCCAAGAAACTTTGATGCAGCAAAGGACAGAGAACTGGTATAATGATGCATGGAGGGAGTCCCATGCAAGAGCAGAAATAACATAATAACATGTCAGGTAGCAAACCCACTTTGAGGAAGAACAGAAGCATCCGCTCTACAGATCAACAACTCAGAGAAATTAAAGAAACCAGCCCAGGAGAGGTTTAGACAGAGGCAATCCAGGTCTCTTGCATTATGCTTCCAGACTCTGCAAGAATGGCACTGCATGGAATAGGGCCTGTGGGAGCACAGAAGGCACCTGTTGGTAAAAACCTGTGCAAGAGAGAGACACAAGGAGCCAGGCAGAGCTGTAGGTTCAGAAAAAGGACGACTGAAGAGAAGTGCCAGGGCAGCAGTTGATTTGTAACCTTCTGAACACAGGGTAGGATCTAGAGACTGTGGTGAGGGTATAAAACGGGTGAGACTGCAAGGAAATAAATCTGAGAGAGGAATGGGAATAAATAGCACAAGACCTCTGGTAAATACGGGAGTGAAAGGACATGTTATCTAGAGAACGGGTAGAAAAGAGACAGAATGAGGGGGATTGCCTTTCTAATTATGGGTATCTGTAACTTTCTGAGATATAATGGGCAGAAGATGACTAACAAGTGACTGAGTCACAGAAACCATGTGACTGAGATTCTAAATTCATCTGCTAAGGGGCTTGAATATTCACACAAAGCTAGAAATTTTCCTCTAATACTATTCTGATGCAGGTGATCCTAAACCTCCTAGACCAAAAAAGCTTTCTAACAGCTCTTTGGAAATATCTATCTCAGTAAATCGGTCAATACTTGTGTTGGCAGGCAAGTAGATTACCTTATTCCTCCATTCCTGGTGGAGAAAGCCACTTTTGACCARCTAAATAATTGTCCATTTTTATCCACAGAACCTTCTGCGGGGAGCTTTAATTTGAAGGTTGTTTGAGCCTTTGCCATAGCAAGTTGGTGAATGTTGTTGCTTTGAGTCAAACAGTGTTCTGCCAGCCTTTGTAAGACAGTTTATTACCACTTACTATCTACTATTTRTAGGATTTTCGAATACTTGATGTTTCATTAAATAAGGAGAATGTGTGTCCTCTGTTTCAAGGTGCTGACTACTGGAAATCTTTGTTTCATGCAATATTAATGTGGCAAATATAGGTACAACCACCAAGAGAAGTTACTCATGCCTTCCACTCACCCTTYTCCTCATATGTGACTTAGATTCAGGAGCTGGTGTAGGTTAAAATTATCTCTTGTCCTGGCSACCATCTGATTAATCAGGTACAATTGAAGTATTTCAGATAATATGTTTAGGGGAAAGATACAAATGTAAAATTACACACACACGTACGCACACAGACACACACTAAAGAATGGAATACTTTATTTTCTTGATAGCAATTACTGTAAAAGTACAGTCTGATGGAAATTAGGATTAATGCGCCTCCCCCAGCTGAGCTGGAGTTTGTGTGTGCACAGTTAGGGAAATTTGGGCAGCAGTGAACTTTTGTGAGTACTGTTAGATTAATGAAGTTTCCCTTCTTTTGATTTAGCATTCTCTACTTGAGACCAGTGAGTTGACTCACTTCTCTCTTACCTTTTTGTCACGGTGAAAGAACTTTAAAACAAGCAAGCTGGCTACTGCGGGCAAATCTAGAGCAAGCAGGCTTTTAGCCTCAGGTCTGGGACATTAGTCACATGCAAATTGGTGATTATAAATCAGTGCCACCTGGCTCACAGAGCTGCCTAKGAAATCACAAATGAAAACGTGATTTTTAAAAGTACACAACTAATCCCTCTCTCCATAAAGAAACGGTCCCGACTTCCATGATTAGTAGCATTTTTCAGAGCAGGAACTGGACTTTTCCACAAGGTTCCCCTTGAAGGTCCAAGGAGCTACCCAACTCCTAATCCTTCATTAGTGCTCTTACATCCCTTTTTTATAACAGCTTGAGAGTCTCGGCATCTGGTGCTTTTATGAAACAGCAGAGAGGAGGTGGTTCTGATTCTGTTTCTCTGTAAAAAGTTTCACTGTCACAAATCCCTGGATGGTACACAGTGCTCCGAGCTTCTGCCTGCACAATAACTGGTTTTAAACATTTCTGTTTAATCAAGAGTGAAGCAAGTGTCAGAGATTCAATGTTCTAGATCAGCAGTTTCCAACACTGATACATCTTAATCAAGCAATTAGGTGCTTTTTTTTTTTTTGTTTTTGTAATTGTTTGGTATTTTCCAGGCTGAAGTAGGGAACAGATTTGCTGCTTTGCTCTGATGACTGCTAGCAGCAGTGTTTGTTGTTAACAGAGACATGTACACCTAACCACCAGTTGGCAGGTGTTAACACTTTGTTACTCGCTATTCCCACATGCTGAGGATTGTGGGAAAGCTGTCAAGCTCTCTGTCTTGTGTAACACTCAGCTTTTACAATAACAACAACAACAACATCAACAAGCTCTGAACAAATTCAGAAGCTCTGTAGGAATGCAGCGAAGCAGAACTAGCAAGGGAAGCAATAGGATGGATTCTCCTGGCTTTGATGGGAGCTAATATGAGGCTTTGGAAAAAGTTTGAGGTATTTCCTTATCTTGGCTTGGRAACAAGTAGATGGAGGCTGAGTGCTCTTTTTTATTATTATTTTTTCTTTCTTTTTGAATTTGTGATATGGTCTGATGTTTAGAAGAAACCAAGAATGCATTGCATGTGCCCCAACATTTCTACTCTGCCTCTGACATTTGTACTCACCTGTATTCAGGAAGGGAAGCTATAAATACAGCATGCCAACAGAAAAAATAACACAGGAAAGGATTGGAATGCTTTGGGCTTTTGTTTTTGAGGTTTTTTTTTTGGTTTTTTTTGGGGGGGGTGGGGGTGGAGGTGGTGACTGGTAAGCCAGAAATGAGAATTTCTGGTGAGMCCAGATGTGCCTAGAAGAGAAGGCCATCTGTAAATTTTAAATATTATTAAAATACTTCTTTTTCACTTTTAGTTGCTGTCATCCAGGTGCTCACACATACTCTGCCTTTGCAGCCACAAGGTCATAGTTTTATAGTTGAGTAATCCAAAGGAGTGATTTATTACTGAAGAAGTGAGCTTTGATGGATTTTTGATTTACATGAAGACAGTAAAGAAGGAGTGGGAGGGTGGGAGGTGCAAGGCAGCTGCAGAGTGGAGTACAAAGCAGAAACTCAACAGAGCAAGTGGGCCAAAGAGTGCGAGGGCTTAGATGAGCAATCAGTTTATATGACTGATTTTAATAGTGCCGCACTGCATAATTGAACTCCTTCCTCCCAAACTGCATTGTACTGATCGTTTCTTGAACCTGCAGAATTATGCTCTGAGTGAGGAGGGGTTTCATGCATTTGCTTTTTGATAAGAATGCTTCAGATGAAGGGAGGATGATCAAAAGAGTCTTCATKGGTTTTCTGGCAGGTAGGCTTTGGCTGGGCTGCCTTTTGAGCACTGTTCCAAGTTTGGGGTCGTTCTCCAGTTCACCCTGCACCCAAACTGAACTAGGAAAGAAACTTATCCTTRCCTTATGGATGGGCTGGAGTCAGGATAGGGCATTTCTGGAGACAGACCCATGCTGACTTGGATCTGCCAATGATTGTCCWATTAAACATGAGGAAATGTTCCCTGACAGGTGGGACTTGGCCAAGTTCTTTCCTGGAAAGGTTCCTACTGCRTGACAAGGAAGCTTCATGGGATATGGAGGAGGCTGAGCAGCAGGTTCTTAACAATAGGGTTGCACAGTCATATTTTAGTGGCCTGACCCCAGATCTGTGTTACACAAGGCTGTGTTAACATGGCCTTGAAGAGACTGGGACTTCTAAGGTAATTTTAATTCTGGAATKCAGGTTTGAGGTTAGTTAAAAGTTAGGAGTTTAATAAAGTGGGAGGTGCAAGACAGCTGCAGAAATGAATGGATGAAATCCCCTGGACTATGTTTTGGATTGGGTGGGATTCCAGTGGTATTTCTCAGCTTCTCAGGTCCCTGAATCTCTGAAGTAAACATGTTTTTTCATAGAGTTAGCATTATTTTCTTGACATGAAAATCATCTCTGTACCTATGCACTGCTTTAAAAAGCCTACCTGCTTGCAGAGCCACCTCCTGCAAGCTGGTTCTGAAAACACTGCCTGCCAAACTTGGGAGTGAGAGGGAGGTACTGGCTTGCATACATCTGCAGGATATATTGCCTAACTTCAGATTTCTCTTAAAATTTTATTTGCTCTTGCTTGGCCACGGGAAGCCAGTCA